ATAGATAAATGCGGCGGCTCACATGGGCGCAATATGGGGATTAGTATGGATTAGTTTTACCAGGAACTCATGCGTCTACAGCCCTCAGCATCTTAAAGCAAAAATCTTGAACCCTAAGCCGCAAATTCTAACCAGCGCACACCCTACGTCCAATGAAACCCTAGACCCTAAACCCCAAACCCGCAACCCCGAACCCTAATCCCTAGCCCCTAAACTCCAAACCCCAATCCCCAAACCTTAAAACCCTAACACTCCAAACCCCAAATCCTAAACCCTAACACTCCAAACCCTAAAACCTTAACACTCCAAACACCAAACCCTAAACTCCAAACCTCAAACCCTAAAACCCCAAACCCTAAACTTTGGATACTGCCCCCCCTCAGTAACAGTTGGATGATAATTATATATGGCCCTTAATAGGACCCCTAATATGGACTGTTACTGGGGGGGGGGCAGTACCCAACCTAAACTCCAAATCCCAAGCCCAGGGACCTCCGCCTCGCTCTCGGCATCCGCAGGCTGGTGCTCTATGCGATCAGCCTGCATGTCCCTATAGAGCCCAAAGGTTACCTGGGGTTTAAGGCTTAGGGTTTAGGCCTTACAGGGTTTTGGGTTTTAGGGCTTAGGGGTTTAGGGTTTAGGGGTGAAGGGTTGAGGGGTTTAGGGCTTAATGATATAGGGGTTATATTGGGGATATATTGGGATCCTGGAAACGAAAATGGAAACTACTAGTTAGGGCTTAGGGTTTAGGCCAGGATTTAGGGGTTTATGGCTTAAGTATGTGTGTATATATAAGGTCATCTCGTAGGGGTTCTAGGTTATAGGGGTATATGGGATCAGACATGGGGTTAGATAGGGTTAGATGGGGTTATCCAGGGCTATATAGATGGATAGATAGGGCTTAGAGTATAGGGTAGGGCTGCATCTTACTGTTACAAGGTTTGAGGTTTAGGGTTTGACCCCACGGGATCCGTTGCGGTTGCAATTTGGGTTTGTAATGGGGTTTTGGGGTTAAGGAGGAAGATTCTACCCAAGTAGGAACTACCCTAAACCCTAAACCTAGGTAAATTAGGGGCCCCTACCTGGGATAACTAATAAGTATTATCGCATGTTGACGTTTATACTGGGGCTTGGCTATGGGGCTACGTCATTGAGCAGTTATCTATAGGTCCTACAATGTCCTACATCCCGTGATAGCCCGAAAAACATCGAACATGAAAATGGAACCTCGAGTGATAGAGCAGTCACGGCATCCTTCAACATCACAACATAGGGGCCCCTCTTCCCCAAAGGGTCCAGGTACCCATACAATATACACCTAGGGTTCAAAGGGGTTCCCATTTAGGGCCCAGATGTATACCATATAGCTACATGGACCCTTTGGGCTCATATCCTGAGATGCTCACATCCCCTGGATGTGACCGATTACAGGGATCTAACTTTGAGAACTTACTGGAGGCTAGTAGGGAATGGAGAAATGGATAGTCCGTGTATAGTCGCCTGTAGTCCCTTTAGCTCACTTTCCTCGAGTATGATATTTGCTATACAACCCCTTAAAATTCATGCTTGCTTTTGGCAATTCCCCACTAAGCCGGATTGCTACTGAAGCCCTCGCACGGCCTGCCCCAGCACGAGCTTCTTGTCCTCAGCCGACAGCCCGGCCTGCTTTGGCAGTGTCCAAGGGACGTTAAATAAGGGGCATAAATGATTGCCCATGTGTTGTTGAGGCCTAGTTGAAGTAGCCTGGACGATAATAATACTACAAGGAATCTAGAGCAATGATAGTAATGGCAACTTTCCCTATAAAGCCGCTTGACAAAATCATTTTGCATGTTCTTATCAATGGTCTTTTCCATTTGATTCTCCATTATTGGGGCAAGACACCCCTAAACTCAGAACAGTCCCTGTATAACCCTATACAACCCCAGGCCCCTACATTCGTCTTTAGGTCTTGGGATTCAGGGCTCAAGCCTTGAAGAGGCTCCTAAGGTACTTGAGTCACTTGTTTCTGATGGCTGGGGATGTGGGCTTAGTTGAGATTCAAGGCTTGGGGTGTAAGGGGATCCGGAGTACAAGGGTCTCAAGGTCCAACGAGGCGGAGATTTCTGCAAGATTCGCGAAGAGTTGCTAGCTTGTGATGCCGTGCAGGGTACACCTTTGAGAAGTATTGACTAAGTATTGCATCAATGCAAGAGCAGCTGTGCGCACGGCGACGAATAGTGAGAGTACGCATCGAGCAGCGGCAACAGCAGGCGTTTATAATGCCCGCGCTTAGTACGGCAATCATGGCAGCAATGGTTTTGGTAATGCTGCTGATACTTGGTGTACTGTAACAATAGTAGCCGCTTTTTCGATGAGGAACGCGCAAACGACAATGTTGATCAACCAACAATGCAAACCCTTAAGTCCAAACCCCAAAGCGTATTCACAAGACTTCTGGCAATTGGAGGTTTTAGAACCAATCCAAAACCTGAACAACGACACCTTTCATTGTGGGTGCTCAGCAGAAAAACCCTACACCCTAAACCGCGCACCACTAATCATTTGGGCTGAGTTCCGGTGAGGTCATCGTGCTTTGCCTGGAGGACGAAGAGCCCGCTCCACGCGGGCCCCCTCACTGTATGGGCCCTAAATCCTTGGGTCCTTGTCTACCTCTCAATCATTATGCAAACTATGAGGTAAGCCCTTAGGAACCCTATTAAGGGCCCATGGTTAGGACTCGGGAAATTGGTAGGGGCCCATACTTGCGATAAGACCTCAGACCCTCAGCCTCTACTTTCGCAGTGACGACGGCTGCTGGCTCGGCTCCTGGCTGCTTTGGGGTAAGGTCTACGGTTCACTTGGGTAGGATTAGGGGTTTAGGGTTTAGGGGTTTAGGGTTTAAGGGTTAAGGGTTTAGGGTAATTGTTGTCACTTTGGGTTATGTATTTGAGTCAGCTTGCGAAACCCTGGAGTGACATTTAGCAAGATCCTGGTTAAGGGTCTGGGAGTTGTAGGATTGATAGGTTGGGTCAAAACCTTTGGGCCCAGGATTATCGACTTGGAGCTAGAGTTCTGAGATGGAATCAGGTCTTACTAAGACTATTTTTTCGCATCCTTGGTTTGTCATATAGCTAGGAATTCTAGAGATTCTAGAGATCTTCCTGCCAGGATTCTGTGGGGAGTGCGGGTGACCCTGGGGAGGTTACAGGGATTATGGGGACTGGTACCCCGGATGGCTTCTAATCCCCATCCTGTAACCATGAGCACTCCACCAAGTAAACCTGAAATCACGTCACAAACCTCCAAATGGAAATCCTCAAAATTCTACATCGTGACTGCTTCGGAGGTGAATGCCTTGACCCGTTATAAGCCCTAAACTTGCAGGAATCTGCCCTACACCCTAAATCCCAAACTTGCAATTCCAACTCCTAAACCCGACATCGCCCAAATCCTGCATCCAAAACGCTAGATCAGAAACCCTCTACCCCTGAACCTCAAACCCTAAACCTCCCCCCCCACTCTAAACCCTAAATCCCTCTCCCGGAGCCTATGGGCAGGTTTGTAGGTAAGGCCGTGAGCTGTGGAGGTAGGGAGCCGTCGAAGATGGCACCCACAACCTGCTGTTCCATAGTTTCGGGTTTAGGGTTTAGGGTTTAGGGTTTCGGGTTGAGGGTTTAAGGTTTGAAGGTTTAGGGTTTAGGGTTGAGGGTTTAAGGTTTGAAGGTTTAGGGTGTAGGGCTACGTTCAAGGGGGACGGTTAGGGTCCAAATGCCCAAAAAGGAGGTATTCAGGATTTGGGTGGTAGTGGTGTAACAACAGAACAGGTTTTCGGCAACATCGTATAATTAGGTGTTTGGACCTTTAGGGTAATGTATATTTGGGAAACTGAAAAGTATGAAGCAGTTCTGAAATTTGCAAATAGTTGCGGCCATTCAATGTTCAGATAAAGAAAACGTCAGTTTGAGGAAGAGGGTTTGAGCGTTAGGGCCTTGTGCGCTGGTATCTAAGTGGGGTTTGTGTTTGGGCTTCGGATATTGCGCTTTTTTCCCCCAAACTAGCCTGTAGCAGCGTCTTGCGCTTCGCTTCAGGACTGGGGTCATGATATCAGTAACAGCCACAGCCCAAACAGAGAATAAGAGTCACCAATTACAGCAGCATGTTGTTCAGAATGCGTTTGTTCAGGGTTGAGTGCGCAGCAACCAAGGAGGAGGTTTGAAGGTGGTGGCTCTGGCCCTTAGCAAGTTTCAGAGTTACGAGGCCCATTAGGAATAATAGCAAAAAGAATAAAAATCAGTAATACTAGTAATAGTACTAATAATAATAATACTAATAATGATAAAAATATAGCCCCCATCGCGTCTTGGAGTAGTGCCCTATTCCCTTATCATGGCTGAGCATTTCATGCGTTTGTGTTGAGCAACTATGGGAAAGATGCCAAGACACTGAAGGGACGGAGCCACCGTAGTGCAGCAAGCATTGCAGAATGAAGCCTGCGGAATTCTGCATCACAATACAAGTCTTTCGTCGGTTCTCTCGGCGTTTAACATAACCCTAAATCCAAAGACATATGCAGGGTTGGTTGACATTCCTTTGTTTGACGTAAGGAGTGGCAAAAGCCTCAGTGGACTCTGTAAAAAAAAACATGAACAGACTGTAGGCCTCCCAAGTTTACACAAGGTTTCGCAAGCACCGCCTGGATGAATTCACGATTTGTTTGAAAAGAATGCTTGCCCGGGTCATTCAGCATTTGAGGTTTAGGGAGTCTAGGGTTTGTAGGGTTTAGGGATGCGGGTCTTGGTGGGAAAGGAATGCCTGCCTGGGCCATTCAGCATCTAGGGTTTGTAGGGTTTCGGGATTTGGGTCTTGGTGGGTGTCGCATATCTACCCCAAAAAATTCTGCCCTAAACCCTAAACCACAAGATCCTAGACCAAAGACACAAAGCGCTTTACCCGGTCGGGCCAGAGAAGCTGTAGGGCCTAACTACCAAATTATGACTATTATCACTATTATGGTTACTATTACTACTATTATTCGTATTAGTAGTACTACCATAATGGGGAACCAAGTGAAACAGAAAATGGAAAGTTCGATGGAAGCTACTTGAGGCCCTGTCCAGTGTGAAAATGCAGGTCAAGTCAAAATGAAATGCAAACTGGGAGTACATAGTGGTTATATGGTCTTTCATGTAGAAGCCTGCTTAGTTACAAGATGTTACAACAAATCTTGTCTTGCAATCTCCGCACAACTGCAATACTTTTAATCCTCCTAAACCCTGTTCGAAGGATGTACATCATGAACCCTAAAACCTAAACCCT